AAACATGGAGCAGACTGAAAGTGACCAGAGGGGATGGGGAAAGAGAACAATGTTGGAGGGGAAGAGACTAGACAAAGAACATGTATGAATGACCCATGGACATAAGCAACAGGGTGGGAATTGACTGTGGGAGTGGGGGATGGGTGGAGGAGGGCAAAGGGGAAAAAACTGAGACAGCTCAAATAGAATAAAAATGATTTAAAAATAGTAGCTCAAAAAATATTAAATGTTGAATGACATCAAAGTCACTTGAATCCAAAGCTTCCTATTTTCTTTCTCCTCCTTGAACCAGCAAATGGAGCATCATTCCCCTCACCCAGTATTTATTGATTCTTTCAGGCTTTAGTTTTTAATTCAGTGTCCACATTCTCCATTAATTTCTTTTTAAAATAATTTTTACTTTTCATCTAGAGTTGACATACAATATTATATTAGTTTTAGGTGTATAACCCAGTGATTGGATATTACATAACTTACTAAATGATCACCTCGATAAATCTAACATCGATTTGACATCATACATAGTTACCATAATAGTATTGACTATATTTCCTATGCTGCACTTTACATCCCTACAACTATTCTGTAACTACCAATTTGTATTCTTTAATTCCTTTTCCATTAATTTTTAGCCTAAAATCAACACCAAAGCAGTGTTTCTCAAACAGCATCAGAATCATCTGGAGGACTGGTTAAACTAAAATTGCAGGACCCCCATCTTCCCCATTTAGTAGACCTGAAGTGGGGCCAATGATTGGCATTCCTAACAAATACCCAGGAGATGTTGATGCTCCTGGTCCGGAGTCAGTATTTTGAAAACCATTAGAGCAATGGTTCACAATGGTAAACATTAGAACATAATCAATCTTGGCCTACTCCTACCTACTAAATCAAGTTTCATTGGGGTGGAAAAGGCAGGCATTTTTCAGCGCACAAGCTCCACAGGTGATCCTGATACACTATCCTGGTTAAGAACCATGAACTCAATGATTAACTCCAGGAGCTGGACTTCCCCTTCTTCCTAAGCCATATTTTTCACACCCCCCCCCTACTTTCTACCCTATTCTCCAGTTATACAGAACAGCAGGGAATCTGATGATTCCAGAACTTTGCTCACTCTCTTTGAATCCCAGAGTAGTTTTAGTTATTAATTCATGAACCTAGCATTTCCCATGCACTGCACCAGATTCAGAGTACAATGTGGTAAAAGACGCAGCCTTGCCTCATGGAGGCAACCCCATTTGCTCTGAACTCCCCCATCACCCTATGCTTCCCCTTCTCTCTCACGGCACAGGCAAATACTGCACCCTCTTGCTAGACTGTAAATTTCATGAAGGCAGAGACTGTGGTATGTCTTTGTAGATGCTCAATAAATGTTTGTTCAGATTAAACTGAAAAGCTCTGCTCCTGACCTTGCCTTCTTTCAAAAATCACCCCCAGAGTCCTCTCTCTGTGCCATCTTTCCTGACCTGCTCCAATTCACTCTCATCACAGTCAGGACTGAGCTCTGCCTTCCATGAGCCCCACCCCTTAACCCATGAAGATTTTTAACTCCACATTTGTGATCTTTTACTCCACATTTGTGATCTTTTACCCCATGTTGTTTACAGATCTGTCTCCTCCTACCAAATTGTGAGCCTCTCAAGGTAAGGTACAATTTCTGCCTTTTAATTTCTGTACTTCATATAGGATGTAAATAGTACTATTTGTTAAGGTAATAAGTCACTTTTGTTTTCACTTAAGCCTGCTCTGCAATCTTTTTGACCAAACTACCTTGTGGCTTTAATGAAATCTTGTTAAGATTCTTCCACGTCTCAGTAGTAGGAAGGAACCACAATTTAAATTTCATGGAGTATGGAATATGCATAATATGGAATTTAGGGAAAAATGTTTATCAAGGGTCTGAATTAAATCTTTTAGAGAGTGGGCAAGGCATGATTTTAGGGACCGCTCACTGCATTCTGACCCAGGGTTCTGAGTTGAGGCCTTAGCTCCACCTTACACCGTCATCCCGGACAAGCTGGTCTCCCAGCCTTTTGGCCTTCCAGTTCCATCATTTAGAAGTTGAACAAAAGACATGGCTTGTAATCTACACTAAGCCTTGGCAGCAAGTAGGTTGCAACTTAATGAATTAAACGGCATCTTTGAAGTACATTTAAAAAATGAAATGAGACAACCTTATCGTAGAAAGGGGTACTGGAAAGAAAGAGGGTTATACTTTCCAAATATATAAAATGTAAATGTTCTTAACAAACTCTGCTCAGAGAATCATGCTATTAACATAACATAGTAGGCCTTCAGTGTATATTTATTGGTTGAAAAAAAACATAAACAATAAATGCTTTCATTTAAATAGACATGAATCAAAAAGGCACCAATCTGCTCTCATAGAGAATCATGTTGAGTGACTCACACATTTCATACCCCTCAGGAAGCTATGGTTCCCCACTTTGCCATGCTGGAGCCTGTGACAAATGCCTCCCACAGGTAAATACACTCTGTTACTAAAGCTCACACAGCCTCGCATGCATTCAGGGAAATCTTCCAACCACACATTCATGACTGCTAAACATATAGTTTATAGCTGTATATAAGCTGTGTTATATAACCTTGATATACACCTTTCTGTCCAGCCAGAGAGGTATATTCATTTCTTTTTAGAGATTTTTAATTTTTTTATTTATTTATTTTTAGGAAGAGAGGAAAGGAGGGAGAAAGAGAGAAAGTAAAACACTGATGTGAGAGAGAAAAATTGATCGGTTGCCTCTCGCACATCTCCAGTCATGGACCTGGCCTGCAACCCAGGCTTGTGCCCTGACCGGTAATCAAACCAGTGATCTTCCTTTGCAGGATGATGCCCAACTCACTGAGCCACACCAGTCAGCGCAATTTCTAAATAATATTTTTGTTGTGTAAAATTCTTAGAACTTTAAGATCACTATTCTATCTAGCATCTGAGTCTTCCATGGAGTAGTCTTATAAGTTTTTCAACTACATACTCTTCTTAACATGCATGTAGACATGGGAAGAAAATAAAAATATATGAATTGTATCACCAACTTAATCTTTTCTTTAGTAGATTGGATATCTGCATGTGGAATGAAGACTGTAGAAAGCCCACACTATTCCCACAATTGCTTATCAGAAATAATGATCAGTCAATGCTATAAAAGAAACAGTTAATGGAGTTTGTGTGTCATTGGAGCAGATAATTTTACAAGGCTATGTTCTTAAGGCTTCAGAATTAAGGATTTGACTGTGGGGGCAAAGAGTCTTCGGGGCAGGACACCCCAGATAACCTCACCCACATGCATTTTTCACACAATGCTTTTCTGTATATAAACAGAAAATAGAAAAGAGTATATGGTTTTTTGTCCTTACTATTAAATAGCTGCTTTTCTTCAGCACCCTCTTAAATTTCTGCACAATGCACAGCCTTCAGCACCCCAAAGAGCATAAACAAAAGATATCAGGCAAGTTCACCTACTCCCACTTCACTGAACAATGCTTGTTGTTAACTAAGCAATTCCCAGGGCAGATTTATGATTTGTGGAGCCCAGAGTAAGTGCTCAGGTTGGGTCCTTGGAATCTGAGGTCAGGAGCACGTGGTGCCTGTTCAATTTCCAGGGCTTTTAGAAAACATGAAAATGTGACCTAAAGTTTGTGCTTGCATGTACACCAGAGACTACTTAGGCATTTAGAGAAATTAAAGCACATTAAGGCCTCAGAACAGCTTATTGTTCATGCTCCAAGTTTTAACCTTTACTTTCTTACTTGCTTCTATGCTTTTCTTCTTGTGAATAAATGTCTACTGAATTACAAAAGAGAAATCAAACATATATATAACATATATATGGATTAAAAAATCCTGGTAAAACAACAAATTATATAGATAAGTAAATTTAAAAGTTTATTTCCCATTTTCCAAACAGAATTATGACTCTGATCCTTTTCCTGTATTCTTAGACTCTGGATTATAACACAAAACAGAATTTGTAATCAGTGTCCTTAATTTATCCTAAAAATTTATATGAGGATTAAAGTCCAGTCAAAACTGTAAGTACTTAAAAGATAAAATGCAAGCAAGCACATGGAAAGATATTTTTCTGACTGTCTTTTCAAGGAATATTTTAGCTAGAGTTATACCTCATAGGGTAATAAGATGCTATTAATATGTAGCAGACTTTGGGGAACAGTTTCTCCCCCTTGTTGCCTGGCTCAAGTATAAAAGTAAAATAGGTTACTGTTTTCATTTTTATAATTATTATAAAATCATTAAGACTATGAAATAATTAAATTTCATTATTACTCTTTAATATTTACCTACTAAATATTAGAATTAAGACAAAAGACAAAAAAAGAAAAATATCTACACATAATGCTTGTATAACTTTAAATTCATTTGGAAATATTTGACTGTATGACAACTGGATGGTAGTTAGAATAATATAAATACAGCCCTATAACTCAGGCTGAATTAAAATGTTGATGGGTCACTGAAGTGGTTGAGTCCTTTCACACGCCATAGACAATTCAAGTGCTAGTCTATCATTCTAACTGACTTTACATGAAACAAACCGGCTAGCCCATGGTCTCTAAACAATTACTAAATATCTGCATTTTTTCAGGAAAATTATGTTCTACCAAATAAATGGTTGAGTTTAAAAAGAGGGAAATACACTGAAACATAAATTTATAAAGAAAAACAACCAATACTATAGGCACAGTATAGTCACACAAACACCCGTAAAATAACAAGGCTGTGTTTAAATAAATCATAACAAACTTAGGAAGTTCTGGGTTAGGTGACAGAGGCTGATAGAATCCACAGTCTTCACTTCTAGCACGAATAAAAAAGAACATAAATGCCTACCTAGTCTATTGAGCTTCTTCTTGTCTGTTAGCTAGGGAGGAAATGCCTGCCTAACGCCTACCAGTGGAAAATCATTGAAAAAGTAGAGATTAGTGAGAATAAAACAACAAAAAGAATAGTTCCCTACCCATTGCCTCCCACTGAATGAACTTTTGACATATCAGCAAACTCTTCTTTCCTCTTGCTGCTGCTGGTGTACTGCTCACTGTACAGCTTCAGGGACATCTGCTCAACAGCATCCCTTTGTGCTTCCAGGTAGCATAGTTGAACCTCAGCCTGGAGAGAGAAACAAAGAGGAATTGCTGCTTTAATCCAGAAGGAATGCATTTCAAGTGAGGTATAACAACTCAAAGAATGGGAATTGTTCATATCATTATACTGCTCCTTTTGGGGTTGGATTTAATGGGATCAGCTGGGCATATTACAGAATTATAGTTGAGATCTGAATCTTATAAGTTCTTCCTTAAAATATGACCTGAATAAATGAACTCTCAGAAGACCCAGTAAATATCACAAAATATCCCCGAGATCATAATGCTGTATGATGAGACTTTACATAAAAATTCTGTGAAATTCCTTAATAATATTCTTACTCATATTGCCACATATGTAACATTTATGTTTTAAAGATCCCCGTCCAACCCATGCATTTGCATGGACACACTCGGAATGCTTCTCATTATCTTCCCAGAGGAGAATAAAAAAAGCCTAGCACTAATTCTAATACCTCTTAAACGGTGACGACAGACTTCCTTTATTACCTTCTTTTCAGTTCTCTGTATTATTGTCTTAATAATTTTAAAACAGAGGGAATGGTGGTTTTGCTTATGTGCACGTTTGAATTGTTAAATCTTTCATAGTTACCTGGGGCTCCCTCTATAAAGGAGAGGTAGTAAGTTCACCATGCTGTTTTCTATCAAACCAAGGACAAAAGAATGCTGAATAATATTTGGCATGAAAATGTATTAAATAGATGCTTTATTTATTGCAGCTGTTGTGATCTCTGTGGCTCCTGGGTCCCTACTATATCAGATGAGACCAGGAATAAAATGTTCTCAGGGGCACGCCTGCCTGTGCACAGTAAAGGGGAGGGGGAAATGTTGGGCTCATGTGCACTGTAGACCCAAGAAGTTCATTTTCTTTTGGCATACTTTATTAAATCCAAGAACATCCATTAACATTTCTGAAAAGCCTTAAAACTGCTACTTCTTTATATTTTAATTACGTATTCTCCTAAGAAAAACAGTTCTGGGTCAGCTCTTGGGCAGTTGCCAGGATTCTGTAACATGTGAGAAACACAGAGTCAGACCCAACTTCTACTCTTCATGTCCAGAGCCAACCACAGCCTTTTGCCTGGTCTCTAGTTTTATAGATTCCACCCGGTCGGGAGTGTGAGGGTGCAGAGTATTATAAAGTGGCAGCTTCTTAAAAGTGTAAATCAGGACTCTGTAAAGGAAATGGGTATCTTACTAAATATATGATTTCAAACCATCCTAGATCTCCTGTGTTGTTGCTTTCCACAAGCAGATAATTATTTATGCTTTGGCTTGCCAAGGAAGAAGTTTTGGAAAAGTGCTAAAATTACTATGTTCACATAATTGAAGTTTCAGAAATCAGTTAAAAAGCTCTATATCCATCCATGTGAACTTTTCTTGCCCAAACTAATTGGCTTCAACAAGAATAGACTCAGCTGGATTAAGAATTATGTCAAACACTACATAAACAAAGGATAATGTTTCATGGAGCATGTTCAGTTTTGGGGGGAGGGTGTGTCTGGTGGGAAGGCAAAAAGGTTAGCATCTTTATTAAGGATGTCAAAGAGGAGGTATGGAGCTTGTTAATGGCATTATAGAAGAGTCTGAACCAGGAGATATGCAGATATCATAGAACTTGGAGGAATAATACCCACAGACCTGAGAATTTTTTAATGGGGGGTGGTAAGAAATGGAATAGAGGGAGTGGGAGTCAATGGTTCGGAAAAAACAACGATATATATTTTTCAAAAAGGCATACAATATTTTATGTGATTATATAAATATGAGTTATCTGAAAGCTATTGAACAATAATCAAAAAACTTTTTAAAAAAATGCTCCCAAATGCGATCCCCCCTTCACTCCTCCTTTCCCCAAAGCAATATGAATAATGAAGAGGTCATCCCACACCAAGAATGCTATTGGAAACCCCATTAGAATAATGTATCTGCACCGTAAGGTGCCAAGGGGCATGTTTGATCCCTAGATGTTCCTGTTAGTTTTTAACCATCTTATGGTAAGAAGCTGGACCACTGCTTGTTCAGGGTAATGATCTCACAAATGCGTGCCACTGGCCTCAAAAAAGGATCATAAAGAGGGATATTGACTTAATGCAGACTCATCACTACTACAAAAAAAATATTTGAATTTATCCCTTTTAGATCCTAGGCCATTTCTATGCAGAAAGGGAAACACCTCTCACATAACAAGGATACACGGAAAGGACTTCAGAGAACAATGCTGAGAGCAACTCAAAAATGATTGAAATGTTGTAATCTAAGACTTTTATTGCACAATGTCTCACAGGTATTTGACATAAAAAAATTCCCTGCACTAACTAAGAGATGAATTAGATGGTCCAAGTCTTTCCTATCCATCTCTATTTCTTTCTCTGCTTTCAATGACTCATTCCTAAATGTGATGATAAAGAATAGAATTAACATAGATCCTTCTGCTAAGGTTGAATGACTTTGCCAGTCTAAATCTCTTTGCAAACTGTCTTAACTTTTTTCATACTACATCTTAGTCCAAAAATAAAATTTTTGGTGAAATGTTTGAAGAAAATAAAGTATTTACAAAAAATAGTAACACTGAACCTCTAATTAAAAGAATTTTATTTATTAGCATTTATGATAAGTGGGCACTTTTAAAAGTGAAAATATTTTACAAATGGAAACATAGCCTGATTAAATAATATTCCTAATGTGAACCAACAAGATTGAGTAACTTAACTCATTAAGGAAAATAAAAAGGAACAGACTCAATGACAGATCTGCCTCATGTTTCCTGGTTGGTACCATCAGTGGGAGCAGGAGTATAAAGAACCACATGATAGTAAATGGAACAAATGAGGTGGATTTGATTGAATCTTTTGGTTTTCGGTATTGGTAGGATATCCAAAATGAGGTAGTCAGCAAGCAAGCAGAAATATTAAGACTGAAATAGAAACCGAGAGGCAACGGTTGACACTGGAAGATGAAATAAGAATACCATGGAAGAGAATGTATGATAGGAGAAAAAGGATCAGTTCTCACTTATTCTGGTCTAGGCCTGCATTACTGCTGGGCTGACCTAATGTGAAGGATACTCCATTGCTCTCCCTCCGTCTTTCTCCACCACCCCCAAACCCATTTTACAGATGGTTCATTGACTAATCTTTTTGAATCACACCTGAGATCACTGGTTGTTGTTTAAAGGCTTAATTCTGGACCTCTTTACTTTATTTATATTCTCTTCTATGGCTCTCAGTACCATTGGTATAGTAATGGCTTCTACTCCTCTCCTCTGAGCTCCACACTTAAATATCTAACCAACCACCTGACATTGCTACTTGGACTCACTTTAAGTATAACTGTTCAAAACAGAAATTGCCATTTGCATCCTCCCCACATCCCTCAAAATTTTCTGTACTTAGGCTTTTCCTTTTAAATAACTGGCACTATCTGTTGCTGGGTCAGAAACCCTGAAAGTCACCCTTGACTCTTCATCTTCATTTATGGCAGGCAGTTACTACCTCAGATCTGTTGAATCCTCTTTCAAGATGTCTCTCCAGGATGTCCCCGCCCCCGCCACACCTGCACTGCCGCCAGCCTGATCCAAGTCTTCACCATCCCTCCCCTGCAGAACAGCAATTACCTTCTAACTTGTATTTGCCTCACCCATTCCTGCTCCTCCAGTCTCTCCCCTTACAGTGGTTAAAGTGGTCTTTATAAAACATCAGTTGGTTTCATATTGCAGTCAAACCTAAAAACAAACTTCTTCCAAGACACATGAAATTTGGTTCTGGCGTACCTCAGACCATATTTCTCCTTCTTAGACCTACTTATCTCACTTTTGATCACCATGCTCCAGTCATCCTTGCTTCCTTTCAGCTATTTAAACAGCTCTTTCCTGTCTCAGCACGTTTGCACATGTTGTTCCCTTTCTCTGGCACATTCTCTTGCTAATGTCTTCTCACCCTTCATCTCTCAGCTGACATGTTACTTCTCAGAAAGGCCCTTCCTGACTATCCTATCAAAAGTAGGTCCACTGTTTTTGTCTATTTTAGAACAGTCGTAGTTTCCTTAAAAACACATTACACAATTTAATTTTTTTTCTTTTTGTATTTGCTGGCCTACACTTTTTCTCTCTCTGTCTCCAGACTCAAAGCTCTGTACAGGAACTGTGTTCTCTAGGTCTCCTTTGCCATTTTAAATTCCCAGCACCTTGGCAATATCTGGAACATATAGGATCTCAGTTAAGAATTGTTGAATAAATGAACTGCACATTCATACATCTATTTGTTACTCATATGTTCACTGAGCCTTTATCATGTGTCAAGAACTGTACCAGGGCCTCTGGGTGCAAATTGGAACAAAACATAATCCCTCCTTTCAAGGGACTGCAGCGTAGTGGAGGAAAGAACCGTGCCAACAGATAACTACAAGTATGCCAACTGAAATGATTGTGGGGGAAATTAGAAATAAAACAAAAAATTGCCTGGAGGTGAGGAATGAGCAGTAAAAACTTGATAGAAGTAGCATTTAAGCTTTTTAAACTTGATCTGGGAATATGGGTATGACTTTGTTTGGGTGAATAAGTAGATAAATATTTTTATAGGCAGAGTAACTCCTTTGGTCACAAGCCCAGAGTCATGAAAGAATGTGGCATGTTCACAGAATGATAGCAGGAGCTTTGGGGAATTTGGGCAGAGCCTAAAGTAGAAGGGGATAGATTATGGAGGATGTCAGGTTAGGGAATTTGGAAGCTCTCCAACAATGTGCCAATAAAAAATATCATTGTTCTGTGTTGGCCTTCATCTTCTTCCATCTCACCTTTTCTGTCATGTCAACATAGTCACCTGATGGATTAGTACAAATAAATTCATAAAGCTCCTACCTACTGGCATACTTTGAGAACATTGATTGAGAAGGAAATCAACAGTTTCCATCAGGCCAAAAGCCCAGAGTCCCAAACAGGGGGAATGCCTAAGAGATTTTTAGCTCATACCTCTAGTAAACCTATAACATAATGTATGGAGTCAA